AAAAGAGCCTGACTCCTATGAAAATACTCTCACTACATTCACTTAAAAGTTTGGGAACTTGATTCAATAATCAGGCATGGCAGAGCAACTTGGTTGCACCACTTCAGATTCCAAAATGAGTTCATATCATCTCTGTTTGAGGAATAATGGTAGCATAAGCAAAATTACAATGGCTGCATGCCAAGACTTTCTTCCCTCGACAAAATATCTTTGATCAAACAATTAATAATCATCGGTGTCCTGACTTCTTATCCTTTCTATTGTCGCAATTCACTTCCATTCAAAAATTTTATCCTTTAGAGTGCTTTCTTATTTCTTAATTGCTAATGGCTAGTGCTATAGTTCATCACACACACAGAGAAGACTGAGGCATTCCCATTTATGGCAAGAACTTCAGGAGCACGTTTGGCCAAAGAAAATCAATTATTGAGCCATATCGTCTCTGTTTGAGAGGTAATGGCAGCACAAACAAAATTACATCAATGATGGCATGGCCAAAACTTGTAAGCATCAAATCATTTAGGATTCCTCAGCCTTTCAGTACAGGAGATATTACAAGTAATTGATGATGTGCTTAGTGAATGACTACCATGTCATTAGGGTTTTTCATAAAATTCTATCCAAGTATAATTCTTTTATGCATAGTAGTCATTATTTGCTACATCACGGTTTTCAAAATTGTCACTACAATTGTTAAGCACTGAATACTGGAAAATAAAAGACTGAAAAGATAAAGCTGATAGATAATCTACTAAGGGCTGAGGTAAAGATCTCACTTACAAATCCCTAATAGCCAAGGATAAATTCCTATGCTCACTCTACTGCTCTGAATGGCCACCAAAAAGAGAATATCCTATTGAATCAAAATTATGTGTTTATTTCCCAACCTCTCCAAGCATAGAAATTGACTAGGATATTCATAGAAGAGAATTACAAAGGAAATAAAATCTGGGACACCTAAAGTACCAGAAACAAGATCTGGTAAACCCCTACAGTCATATCCGCTCACTTCTTAGCTAGCTGACAATAAAATAAAGAATCAAGGACTAATAAAATAAGACATTCAAATTAATTCAAACTTCGGTCTTCCTCTTTTTTTTCCCCTCTGGTAGATTACTGGGTAGCCATGCTGACTTGGAATCCTATCACAGTTTCATGTAGCCTATGCAACAAACTGAGCCCTTAGCACAACAAATGCACTGCAGAAGTTATAACTCTTTACACTTCTAATGAGATCAGGGGGATGCAATAGCATCAACTAATCAACAATTTATGATGTCATAAAATATGAAGTGATGTATATTGTCCTTAAAAATAGAGTCGAGTCTAGCATTTTGAGAACGTGTTGGAGATCAAGGTAGCATGGGATGTCTAGGTCCCACAATAAGGGCCCATATGGTATCCTAGAAGGACTCTTTAAGGAATGTCTCACATGAAAAAGAATGGGATAAGCTTAAACTACGTTTGACATGCTAGAAAAAATAAATGGACTCTGGTTATAAAATTTGGCATGTATATTAAAGCAATGGAGGGGGTACTTAAGTGGATCGGTTCTCAAACTTTAATAACTAACTTTTTGGAGAGGGTTGTGCACCGCCACTTTCCATGCCCATAAAGATTAGGGGGCATGAACCAAAGTTGGCATTATTAATTGGGGGAAAAAAATGCTATCGTTGTCCATTAAGGAAGATGGACAATGGGCCAATAGCAGGAGGCAGCAATGCTGAATATACAAGAAACAAGAAAATAACAGGACGAAAAACAAAGAAACTCCGCTAGTATTCAAGAAACTAGAGACTCTCTGCCAAGCCAATTGATCATCCAACCCCTCTACATTCCATTCTCCAGCTGAAATACTATCCACAACACACTCCCGCCCACATACTCACAAGCCATTTCACACAGTTAAATAGAATATTCTATATTTGCCCCACCTACATCTAACTATTTTTCTGTATTTGGGCTACTCATTCCTTTAGGTGCAATGACACCAGGTACATCAGAATGCAAATAATAGAATTACTCTACATGTTCTCCAGGCAAAGTATTAAATGATGTCAAATCATGCGTACCATAAATCATCAAAAACTGAAGAACGCACTCATTAAAAAATAGTTCGGTATCAAAGAGGAAGTTCACAAGAAACAAAAGTCAGTCCAACCCAGTGAGGAACGCACCTGCAGGCTTATCCTTTCTTGCCAAGAAAAATCCCCATGAATATGCAGGCCAGCGAGAACAAAACAGGTATAAGAAAAGCAGGAGCAACCCGATTAATGATCTTTACACCTCCAAATACAATAAAGCATAATATAATAGTCACAACAATTCCATAAATTTGCATATCATGGGAACTTATAACGTGTATCGGTTCTGCAATGGCAGTACCATTAACTTGCGTGATAGTCTCTGCAAATGTCACACAAAGAAATTTGTGAGTTTAAAGCATTAAAGAATGTGGAATATATGTGAAGAAACAATATTTGTAACTCCCCAGAGTAGTGTAAACCTCATGAAAATTTGATGGTGTTTATGGATGTCTTGCTTGATATAATTTAATATAGACAGCTCATTTGCCTTGCACGCTTTTCTTTCTCCACTATTCATTTTATAAGTATCACAATCTATTTAAAATCATTATTTATACCACAACAGTCACAGAAATACAACAAACTCAACAGACTTGAAATAAGGGGAACTATGCTCAAATTAACTATCCAAAAGGAAGATTTCTCCCTTCAACAGATGGATGCTAATACTCTTCCTGAAGTATGTAACAAATTTCGTATAAAGAAAAGTATCACATAAATAATAGTACCTCATGAATGCCGTACCTAGAAAAACACACTTGAATTAAAAGTATGAAATAAAACGGAAATAATACTTTTGGCCCCTATAATTTCACTCAATTTTTAAGTTGGTCCTTATAGTTTAAATGATTTAACATTTAGTCCTTGTTATTATACTTTTGCTAATTGTTTGCCATATGTGAGTTAACTCTACTTCATTACCCTTAATATTGTTATTAAATCATACATAAGCATCAAGATAATATATTACTATGTCAACAAAATTTAATAAACACTCGTAATAAGTTAACAAGAGGGAATACATTAAAATTGTAAACTTTAACAGTTCAATTACAAAATTTTACATTACAAGGACCAAGTTGAAAATTGAATAAAATTATTGGACCTAAGAGTATAATTTGCCCTAGATAAAATGAAATAGAACCCCATCATTCCAAATTAAAGTAAATTCTGCCATTACCTCCAAAAATCCCAGCTTTAGGCACTGCTTTCAAAAAAGTTTCTACAGCTCCCAACACATAACTAGAACCATAATAAATAAATAAAAAAAAAAACACAATTAGGCAAGTCTTCATTCAGTCTTCCTCTTGAATCTTAAGAGACTTAGCAGGCAGGTCATATAGCAATAGGAAAAAAATCTCATAGTTCACACTTACAGGGCTCCAGCAACTGCGTTCCCCAGAAAGAAACAAAGACCAATGCTAACTCCAACTTCTGGACCAAGAGCACGACCAATGAGATAGTATGGTCCACCACCCTACAAAAGTGCAAAAACGAGAGCCAAAAAATTATTTCCATCAATGAACAGTGTAAGCAGTCCCAAATTCTAGCAGCTATCTCAAAACAGAAATTGCTATTTTATTACAGAACTTTTATGCATAGAAATTTATAATTTTTCTCAACATATTCATTTTAGTTGTCAGAAAATGTTCTTGACATGTTAATAAAAACTGCAAAAAGAACCTTTTAACTTCAAATATGTTTAAATACTTATATAAAGAAAGAGCGTATTATTTCCCAGTCAAGATGAACTCAGCTACCAGAGTAAGTTTATAGAGAGGGCAAGACATGACAGCAACTGTTTTTTCCACACTAATCACAAATTTTACTTTTAAAACAATATCCTCTATGATGATTTGAACCAAAAGGGATATTGAATTTATACTAATCCTCTATGATAATTTAAAAAAATAGCATGTTCTCTGAAGTATAATTATTTGTGTTCAAAAAATTGAATCAGATTAGAAGTGGGAAGGTAGTGGTCAAATCGAAGAAACATAAGCTTAATTCGGTAATAGCATATACCTTCATGGCACCATTGGTTGCAATAGCACTCAGTGATATTGAGGTTAGAAAAGTACAGGAGCCACATAAAGTAACAAGCAACAACGACTCTGCTATGCCAGCCATACCAACAATCCTACAATTTGGATGTTCATGGAAAAGAAAACATCTAAATTATGGTTAGAATGATGGTAACAACGTCATTCAATTTTATTAACTCCAAAATCATAAAAGCTAAAAACTACAGTGTCTAGATAATATGCAGTGTCAAATAAATAAATCATAAATACTAAATCTACTACAAGCTCAAGCTTGCGGGCCTTTTTTACAACAGATTTATTCAAAGCCTGGTTAAAAAGAAAAAATTAAATCACCATCAGAGCAATGTTATAAATGTAAAATTATTGTTCTCATAACTTGGATTGGATTACAAAATTTGAATGGGATCTGTTTGCAAAACAGATAGAGAAATGACCTCATAGTCCCACTCACTTAAACCCAGAAGGAAGCCAAGAGAAAAATCTAACCCAGGAGAAGTTGAGAAATGAGATGATAGATTTCTAATATGGTATTCTGTAATTACACCTTGGTAAGGAGTGAACTGCTCAAGAGATATCTTTCTAACTTTGTGTCACAATGCTTAAATATAGCAAGACAATCATAAATTTAGCATAAGCCTTTCTCCCTTGATACATAAATAGATATATCATGGGTGACCTATTTGTGTAAAGTTGTAATCCACTTATAATACAATTCTCTACATAGGAGTTTCAGGCACAAGGGGAAAAACAAAATATTTTCATGGAAATTACTTCGGAAAGTAATATTTATTCAACTTTCAAGCTAGCTGCTGAGTTGTGTCATGGGCTTCTCCACATCTACATTTTACTTGGGTTCAGTTTAGGCATCGTCAGATTATGCACATGTTGACTCTGGCAAAAAGGAAAGAATTCCCAGCAGGAAAAAAAAAAATTATCTCAGACCATAAATGTCTTGCTTTTCCCCCTTTAGTAGCTGGTTAAAGTTAGGCGAAAATTTCCTGAACGATGCCCTTGCCAATTCCACAACACATCATCTAACAGAGAGTAATTCCAAGGACCAAACTATAATGCTGCCAAAAGAATTCTCCAAGATATGGACAAATTCAGTGCTTTCCAAACAGCACAAAGAGCTAGCTTTAATGCAGCAAAAAAAAAATCTTGAAAGATAAAATGCATATCTAAAGAGAAAGGGCCACATGAAGGGTTTCTTATTAGTAAAATAGCCTTCTAATTGAAAGGTTCCCTGTTTTACAGGAAAAGACAGCTGTGTTGTCAGAAATATTCTAGAAAGCTAGATGAAGATGAGAGCATCAATGATGATGGACAGGTGAATATAGATGAGGAGGACTAGTTTAGGTTCTTTACAAATTTTCTCCCTTATATAACTTGCTAGTACTTTTGCCTCTCTTTCATGCCATTATTCACACTCTTCTGCTTGTGCACTGTGAATCTATGGTTTTATGCTGTTGATTTGTCTTCTGTATTACTTTTAACATCCCAATCCTTTGTCTTGACTTAAATTGCAATATAGCGTTGTTTTATATTTTGTGTATTGTTAAATGACTTGATTTAGAAGTTCTGTTTTCAAACAGACTGCCTAATTAGGCAGCCACTCTGACTCACTGCATAAGAAATGCAACTTGAAGAACCCTGCTTTAATCACTAGTCACTACACGATAGCTTTGATAACATCCAATCCATCCCAATAACATATCAAACTTCCCCTTATGGTACCCATAATAATCAATATATACTCCTGGCCATTCACGTTAGTAATAACTAAGGATAATCTATGCAAAATTATAAGATCAGCATCATAACATATGTATATAGATTATCTAAGTTCAGGTTAAATATACAAACTGCTAAAATCATGACATTATTTTGAATCTAAAGAAAAAGGAAACAAACATCAGCTCTGCACTAACAAAAATACGCCCAAAATTTATTCATCAAGTGAACAAGGGTTGCATTTAGATTGTTTCATCCTTACAGGAAACTTGAAAAATAATCCTCCAAGAAATTATGAAATACAACAAAATAACTGATCTCTATATTCTAAGAAAAAAAGGATCTTTTCATATCGCAACGACATTATTCTATGAGAAAACTTATGTTTTTAATAGAACAGTAACAAGAGGGATTTTTTTTTTTTTAAATAGAACAGTAACGAGGAATTAACACTGAAAGGATAAGAATTAAAGCAATATACAAGTTACCAAGAGAACCGAATGTAATAGATAATTCCCAATATGCTTTGCAAGCACGGAATGAATACACCCATCAATGTTCCAAGCTGGGGACCTGCAGGCTGCATGATGGTTATGAGTGGTCAGGGGAAAAAAAGGAAAAGAAGCATATCAACAAATGATATGAAATTTTACTCATAACCATACCAATTTTTCATTTGAAGTGACAAATCCAAAACAGTATTAAATCTTGAAGAAAGGAGTATGATGAATTACACATAAATAAATAAACCCAAAATTATTCTTCCGCACAATCTTAATCATGTTCACAGCAGGGGGGGGGGGGAATTATAGTCTCTAAATGCATATCACCACTTTCTTCTCCTAGGAAGAAGACCCTGATCTTCCTACAAATAAACTTATTAATTGATTAAATAGACAAAAAGCATACTGAAGGGACCATTGTTCATGAATGAGATTGTAGAAGATTTCAAAAAGCATATATTTGTCACAAGTCACAACAATCATCCGAGAAACTAAATCATTAAAAACACAAAATAATCGCACATAAACATTCCTGCTTCTAACATTCTTGTTCTGTAAATTCATCACATAAAAAGAAGTACGATGCAAATTATAACACACTAGCATGGACCATATTTGAATTATGATATCAATATCAAATGAAAAAAACAAGATAAATTGAAAATAAGAAGTTTCTTCAGAAATTAGCATACCCTTGGCTGCCCAACTGTGATGGAAATATTCTCACCATCTCTAGGACTAGATGGCTGTTGAAGCTGCTCTCCAGTCATACTGGATCAAGAGAAGACTAGTCAATTAAAAGGGTCAATCACTTAACCGTCAATTAAAAGGGTTAATAACTTAACTTTCAAGAACCAAATAAAAGTTCACAAACTCAATTCCCTTTCCATTTAGAAACAGAAAAGACAGTACTAATTGTAAGATTAACAGAACAGACGTGAGTGCAGTATTTGAGCAGAGAGCACTAATAACAGCAGCTTGAAAAGGGAAAAGAAACAACTTGTTCGAGAAGAATATGAGTTGTATACAATAATAAAGAGCTTCCATACCTTTTGAGCCCAAGAATGTTGACAAGAGAATCAAAACCAAACAATTCCAATTTGGATTCCCCTTGCATTCCATTAGCCTGTGCATGACGAGGAGAGTTCCCTTCTTTCGCATCAGAACCCACATTTGCACCCGCATTTATATTAATTGTTCTAGAACAACACAAGACCAGTCAAACTTGGAATTCTAAGCCCAGACAAATTCAACGTAAGGAAGTGGCATTTTTAATTACTGACAACCCAATCGCATTCGTATTATTTGTGCCACATTAACAACCTGAGTAGACAAACTCTGAGGATTGCAATTTCACATTATAAAGTGATTGACAAAACGGTGCTGGAAAAAACAAACATGTAAACCCACGCCCTGTTATGCATCATAAAAGCTAAGCTCTGATTATACGATGGGGGTCTCATGCCCTTTCTCGCGTTTCAACACGCAATGTCTCTACAACCATAATGCCCCTGTTCCCCCCCTAACAATAACATGCCAAGGTGCTCAAGGAAAAGTCACAGCAGCAAGAAAATAAACTTACTTGACTGAAGCAGGTTGATTGGGATACGAAGAAGACGACGATCCAGGATCCATGGAAGACATCTCAAGCACGGCACGATCGTTGGCCAACACGGGCCGGTACTTGCGACCCCTCTGCCCATGAAACTCATCTTCTCCACTGCCATCAAGATCCCCATTATCCATTTTCGGTTACTGGGATCTAATTCAAAAGAAAACAGATCAAGATACAAATCTGAATCAGAAATCAAATCCCAGAAAATGAAGCAAAAAAGGGGGAAGAAAGGGAGAGATCCAAGATTGGTACCCAAGATTATGTATAATATCTTCACAGAATCCGAAGAAAAAATACGACTTGGAGAGAAGAGTCTTTGAATTGAAAATGGAAAAGAAGAAACCCGAATTCCTCTGGTCAGAATCCTTTCCAAGCGAAAAATAAGGAGGGACTAGAAATACGCGCGCGTTTGAAACGATGAGGAAGGGTCAGAAAATGAGAGAATGGGAAATTTGCATTGCATTCCGCTGCGCCTTCTTTATCATGACCCGTGCTCGTTTTTAAACAGTCAAGACCAACTCAACGTCGGCGTTTATGCCAAGAGACATCAAGCAGGGCTAAGCTATGACTAATTTTATCCCAACATTGTGTTTGAGCAAGTGTTTCTTTTATTTTATGATCAGCTTTCGCTATAAATGTTTCTGTCCTAAAAGGAAAAACATAATTCGAGTCTTAAACTGTTCCCAAAGATTTTATACAATAGTAAGTTATAATAGTAATAGTAATTATAATACAAATTCCATTAAAGAAAAATAGAATCTTATGAAATAATCCGGTCCTTATTATAAGACCCCATTTGACTTTTTATTTGGTCCTAATTATAAGATATCCATTTTGTCTCTTATATTATGCATAAGATAATCCTTCTAATAATGATAGTTTTAGCCATACTTAATTAGCAAGGATATTTTAGGAATGACAACATTATATAAAATAACCAGTTTAAACTTCCTTAAAAATAAGAATTGGATCTTAATTAGGACCGGAGGATAATATTCTTAACAATTTTATTAATTAGATATGGATCTTGCAACCAAAAAATTATAAAATAGTTGCGGGGTATCACATTGTTTTTGGGAGAAAGATTTAAAATTTGTGAATCATGAAATAGTTCTCAAAATGTCTTAACTTCTGTAAAATTCTTAGCAATTATTTTAGAATTATTTTTTTCGTCAAATGATATAATTATCCTCACATTAAAAAAAACCAAAGAAAAAAAAAACTCAACCAGTCAAGTTATTCCACGCATCAAGAGTTACCTATAATCCAATGGATTAAAAACCGGACCGAATGGTTGGATTGGTTCGGCTGATGATCGGAGAGTTCTCTGACTCGTTTTTTGTGGTTTGACCATTTAATCAGTTATACCGTTTTGGACCGCTCCTAGCCAGCCATTTAGCCGGAAGCCGGAGTTAAACCAAAATTTGAAAAAATCGCCCAACCCAAATTTGTCAAGAATGCTACAACATCGTCATATGGACGAAGGTGAAGAAGAAGATGAAGAGAGTTAAGGAAAGATAAAAATATCTAGAAGGCTATATGAGAAAATTGAGTTTAGATTATGACAAATAACTCACTCAAATCTACTCAGCCTTGGTCACAAACCCAGATCTATTTTTGAAAATAGTAGATACCATCAAAATGAAAAAAAATCTGCACTAGAAGTGCAAGACATAAAGAACAGTCAAATGTGGATCTCAAGGTCGCCGAAATTGAAGTGAATGGTTGGAGTTTAAAATTTTTTAAACTGAAAGTATGTCAATAGCTGCAAGATGTTACTCGATAGTTTTAATCCAATAGTTAAAAGAAAGAGGTGTCTTGAAATACTAAGAAATAAATACAAACCCCAGAAACGTACATGGAAAGTAGCACTAAAGCATGTCAAAAATTGAAAAGAAATAAAGAATAAAGCAGAAAAAAATAAAACCTCTTTTTTCGTATTACCCTTTTTTATTTTTCAATGGATTAACATATCACACTGTGAATTTATAAATTAATTTATTCAAATATTTATACTTTTTGCAAATAAAAATAGACGTTATTAACTTACTATAGTAACAAAATGAAGAAAAAGAGGTCAAAAAAGTTTTTAGCATATCTTGATTTTTATTTTAAATTTTTTATTGAGATATCATTATATTAATAATTATTATACTTATTATAAATTTATTTATACATATTAATTACATGTATATAACATTATTTTATTTAATTATTATGTCACTCGTTTGACCATCTGACTATTTGAATCATGACTCACTAGTCTTTTCGATTTGACTTCCGATCCGGCTTTAAAACGTTGCTATAATCCTAATGCATTTTTTACTAGTAATAGTAAAGTAATAGTAATTATAATATTCAAATTCATTAAAGAAAAATAGAATCTTATGAAATAATTTTCTTAACAAGTTTATTAATTAGATATGGATCTTGCAACCAAAAAATATAAAATAGTTGCGGGGTATCACATTGTTTTTGGGAGAAAGATTTAAAATTTGTGAATCGTAAAATAGTTCCTCAAAATGTCTTAAATTCTATAAAATTCTTAGCAATTATTTTAGAATTAATTTTTTTTTGTGAAATGATATAATTATCCTCACATAAAAAAGGGGGAAAAAAAACTCAGCCATTCGGTTTGATTCCACGCATCAGGAATTACCTATAATCCTAATGCATTTTTATTCCACGTGTTTGGTTAGACTTGAGTAATGAAAGGAGATAACATTATTCCTTCAAATGGTTTCATTAGGATTACATAACTGAATCTTATGAGCGGGGACTACGTCATGGCAAAAGACACTCATACCCCTGGCCTATTCATGTTCCTTACGTCCATGCTCGCTTCTCATTTTTCGTGAACTTCATCACCTACTCCCTCTGCCTTCACCATCGGCCTCTTCATCTTCTTGTAAACTGCAGTGCATGTCAAAATAAAGTCCCAAGTGAGAAGAGGACCAAATGTGCATAAGAAGTCGAGTAAACACGGGAGAGTAAATGAGTCAATAGTTAAAAATTAGCTATTCCCCAAACATGGATTGGATACTTTTTACGAAATATTTTTACAACATTAATTTTTTTATATTAATAAAACTTATCGAAAAAACTTTGTTTTATTGTGTTTAAAATTTAAAATTCGAAAATTGGAATTTATCAACCGTTGGGACCAAATGCTTTTTCGGCATGTATCTTGCCCATCTATAGACTCTGTCTGTTCAATGTCTGTCATGTCCTTCTGCTGCCTATACAAAAAATGCTTGCGGTATTGATCAAACACACATATAATCTCGGTCCTTCTCTCTTCTTTGAATATTTCCAAGTTCTTTGTGCTTTTGTTATCCTGTCACCTCGTCAACATACAACAAAGGTCCGTTTAATCCTATGAAGTGTTGTTTTTCTTAAATTACAAAGGGGTTGTGAAATACTACCTTCGGTCTTTAATATAAAATCTCGTTTGACTTTTATTTTGATCTTAAATATAAGATCCTAATCCACTTTGTCTCTAATATTTGTATTTTTTTTAAGGTAGTCCTTCTCATAATAGTAGTCCTAGCCAACACACTTGATTAGCAAGGATATTTTAGGAAAAATAACACATATTTATTACAAATAACTAACTTAACTTATTTTCTTAATCTCTTCAAATTAGTCAACTAGCTCTTATAATAAAACCGGAGATAGTATATTTTAAGGACAGTGTGCTCGTGACAAACTCGAGCCATCTAATCTCCAATGCTGCTACCAACACATCTCCATCAACCTCCCTTTGCCTTTATTGCCACCCTTTTCACCTTAGTCAACCACCACCACGGTCGCTCCTCTTTGCCTTTGGCTTTGCCCTCTTCGGGGGTGTTTGGGAAACCCAAAACCATGGTTTCAGAAGCACTTTTTCGCAAAACGAGATAATCTCCTCCACATATTTACTTCGTAATCCGTAAAAGCACTTCTGAAACCATGATTTGGGTTTATCCAAACACCCCCTTCATCTCCATCAACTAGCACCATTGTCCCTCCTCCCTCTCCATCTCTGTCAGACGTCATTGCCCTCCCTCTCCTTTCTGAAGCTCGTCAACCAAACCAGATTTATAAACCCACCAATTCCACCTTCATCATTTATCCCTCATCATGATTTTATCATGAGTTCATTCCACATTTTGACTCCTCTATGAAAATTTAATTTTTGGTTTGCATTGTGATTTTGTCCTTTGTATTCTTTTTTTTGAATTCAATCAATTTTGGATTTTGGAGTGAATTTCGGTGGAGAAGATTATTGAAGGGAAGGGAAATACTACCTCCAGTCCTTAATATAAGACCCTGTTTGACTTTTATTTTGATTCTAAATATAAGACCCCAATCCATTTTGTCTCTCATATTTACTCAATTTTTTTTCAAGATAGTCCTTCTAATAATTATAGTTCTAGTTAATACACTTGATTAGCAAGGATATTTTAGGAAAGACAACATCTATTTAGGACAAATAATTAACTCAACTTACTTTCTTAATCTCCTCAAATCAGTCAACTGGCTCTTATAATTAGGACCGGAGGTAGTAAATTTTTTTTTTATGGGAGATCGAATGGAAGGGGTAGAGAAAATTTTTCTTGAGCGGGCATTATAGTCTTTTCATTTCTAAGATAATTAAAACAAATATAAAAATTAATTTAGTTTTAGCATTCCTAATATGGCAATACCGTACCAAACGAAGCCATGGTAAATATCATTATGCATTGTATTCAATTTCCTCCTATTCATTGAATTATTAAAGCTTCTTAGTAATAGAACACAAAATATTATCAAGTTTTAAAATACATGAAAACTAAAACTATTAAACAAATAACAGCTTTTGCTTAACAACTGATAAGCGGAGCTTAATGTAAAATGTCATTGCAGGAGGATTAAAGCGAAAATGAATCAATCATGAAAACTGTGTTTGTAATTACATTGAGTTAAAATAAATGAGATTTTGGAAAACTATTTTCAATTAAAGTTAGACAATTATAGAGAAAGAAAAGGTTCTTTTGGCTCTTTTTTTTGGTTTGCTAGAAAAAAGGTTCTTGGACTTCAAGGAAAACTATTTCTCCCATCTGTATTTCATAAAACCTAATTAATTTTGTTTCAAATAAAAATCCAATGAAATTATGTGTTTGTCAGCCACAACATCAGTAGGCCCGTTTGTTAGCAGAACCTCTTGACCCATTTGATCTCCCCTATCCACTGTGGTTGTGCCTAGCCTAAAACGCTAATACTTCATAACGCCATGGTGAACAATCTCACCCAAGAGGGGGGTGAATTGGGTGAGTTACAAAAATTTAAAATTAAAGCGTGCAAGTATTGAATAAACAGAGAGTCAGAGTAAGGAGAAATTTAACCGCAGAGAGGAGACACAAGATTTATACTGGTTCGGTCTAACCACGTGACCTACTTCCAGTCCCCAGAACACCTCTGAGTATTTCACTATCTT